TCAGCAATTAATTTTAGGTGCCATTTGCACTTCATAATCAAGTTATGAAATTTATTGTAATTGTCCACATGAATGATATTAGCTTTGCTAGCTTCCTCTTCCAGCACAGGTATTGGAGACATTATTAGTTTTGATAGAAGACTTTAGTGGTGCTGTTCTGTATGCTATTAAAAAGTTAAATGGGGTTACTTAGCAGGAATATGTGGTGTGGCTTTGAAGATTCTGTTCTTTGAAATTTAATGATCAAAACAGCAGAATTACAAGTCTTAAAGTATAGTTTCCTTCTCAAAAAGAAAGAAAAAAAGACATGGGAACTCATGCTTGAAATCTGCTCTAGGCAAGTAGAAGGATTGATGTCCCCTACGGTCCATTCAAGGCCAATCTGGAGCAGTACAGTGAGGGCTACATAGCAAGGCTGTCTTAAAAACAGAGAGATAGGGAAAAAGAAAGAGCAAATTTCAGGGTCTTGAGTAAGATTCCAAGAACTTACTAGCTGTTATCAGTGTAGTGAAATAAAATTCACACCCACAACCTCTGGACAGCTGAATTAAGCAGATAATGAAATGCAATGAAAGACAGTTGACTTGAGCTGGGCCCACAGTTCTTCCCTGTTGCAGTTACTCAGTCTACTGAGGGCCTGATGGTATTGGGCATTGTTTTATAGCATTTTGCATTAAGTCCTCACAGCTCTGAAAATAGATCTTGTCATTCCAAATGTTTGAAATGAAGGAATAGTACACATATAACTTGTGAATGGTTATTTTAGTGAAAAACCTAGGGTTTGAGCTGTTTATGGGGAACCCAGAAAAGCAATTAGTCTTCGATGCTACTTATCTTTATAATCATGAAAGTTACTGTAATTGTCTTGAATTAAGGAAATGTCTGCTGTCTAGAGTATGGAAAATTTGAAATACTATATCTTGCTACAATAGAATCTTAGACTGAAGTGCCCCCCTCTCCCAATTTGATCCATAAAGATTTATTTATTTATTTATTTGTTTGTTTGTTTGTTTATTTATTTAAAGACAGGGGCTCTCTGTGTAGCCCTGACTGTCTTGGAATTTGTTCTATAGATCAGTCTGGCCTTGAACTCACAGCAATCCACCTGCCTCTGCCTTTTGGGTACTGGGTAAAGATGGGCACCACCACACATAGCTTGTGTGTAAAGGAAAGGTTTGCATATTGTTTATAAATGGGTAATTCCAGGGTACTCAGAAGTTTTGTATTGGTTGATTACCAGTAAATCTGTTTTCTAAGCTAAGTTCAAGCTTTGCTCCTAAAGAGATGCCACTTGGCAAACCAAAATCTAGCCTAGAAACCAAATTACAGGTTACAAAGATCATGTGTTTCTCAGAAAGAAACAGTTGATAATTAGTATGCTTTTGTTCATTGTCCTATTAGTTTTTGTTTGAAAAAATGAGAATGGAGGACTGGAGAGATGGCTCAGAGGTTAAGAGCACTGACTGCTCTTCAGAGGTCCTGAGTTCAATTACCAGCAACCACATGGTGGCTCACAACCATCCGTTATGAGATCTGGTACCCTCTTCTGGTGTGCAGCTATACACAGAAGCAGAATGTTTCATGCATAATAAATAAATAAAATCTTTTTTTAAAAAAAAAGAGAATGGAATTATATTCTTAATTGTACTATGGAAAAATATTGCTAATCACTTGAATGAGAGACTGATTGGGTTAAGTGGCATCACAGAGCTGTAATGAGCCCCCCCCCCTTTTTTTTCATTTGAATGCTGACCAATATGCATGTGAATCAAAATTCATTTTCTCTAGATTCTCTCTCATGCTGTCTCTTACACTCACTCTTCCAGGATTGCTCCCTTGTTCTTACTCTTTATATGTCTATCTCTGGCTGTGTCTCTTTTTTTTCTTCCTGGGATAAATCTTGTGATATAGCCCAGGTTGGCCTTATATTTAATATTTAATGATCTTGTGCCTTAGCTCCCTAAGTAGAATCACAGGTAGAAGCTGTCAAACCCAGCCACTTGGAATAATCAAGTCCTTTCACCATTATCCTTAAAATATTTAATCTTGTGACTCATTCTTCAGTTTAGGATGGATTTCCCATCACCAGTGTTCCCTTTTTTCTTATAAAAATGCCCTTACATGTGCTTCTTGAGACTAGACTAAACCCCTTACTAACCATACTGAGCTCTGAATACTCTCGTTCCATGCCAGAGTACCCTCAGGATGTCATTCTCAAACTGACAACACATTTCAGTTTTGTTTTGTTTTGAAGACAAATAATACGATTTCAAGAGGGAACTACAACCAATAGTGGCTTCTTGTCTTAGAGTTGCCTTTGAAATTGAAGGATAGGAACGGAGTCCTTTTCTGTTCAATTAGTAATATCTCTGTGTAGCCCTGGTTGTCCTGGAACTTACTTAGTAGACCAGGCTGGCATTGAACTCATAGAGACCCACCTGCCTTGACTTCTTAGGTACTGGGATTAAAGGCATGTGTCACCTCTGCCTGGCATCATTTTTTTTTTTTTTTTTTAGTAGGAAAAAGTGTTATGTGTATGAATGTTGGCCTGTATGTATGTCTATGCACCATGTGAATTTCTAATACCCACAAAAGCTACAAGATGGCATCAGATCCATTGGAACTTCTGTTGACAGATGGTTCTGAGCTAACATGTGGGTGCTGGGAATCAAACCCAGGTACTGTGGAAGAACAACCTATTCTCTTAAAGCAGAGCTCTCCAGCCTATTGTTTAGCTTTTTTGAGTCAGAATCTCTGTAGTCTGGGTTAGTCTTAAACTCCTGGCAATCCTTGTGCTTCACCCTCTGTGTGCTGGCATTGCATGCAGGCTGTCAGTCACTGTATCCTGCTCCTTAAATTATTTTGTTTTTAATTTTACTTTCTGATTAACACACTTAAATAAATCTGCATTTTTCATATAACAAAGAAATTATTAAATAATGATATCTGAAATTCAAAAGGACAGTAGGTGAAGGCTTGGGGGAGAGAGAGCCATATAATTCTCATGGAGTAATTCAGAAGTTGGTGTACTGTGTTTATATGTATAGCTGTGTGAACTCTGAGCCATTGGAACACTTTTTCCAACTATTGAAAAGGAAACTATCACAATGAATCTTTTGAGAGATTCTAATGGCCCTCTTTCTGAAAAACAAATGTGTATTCCTCCTTAGGAAGGAGGTAGATAACTTGTTTTTCCTTAGTTTACCCAAGGAAAAGACTTCCTCGCTGAATCCCACTCATGGTCCATTTGTACATTTGGGGACAACTTCCCTTCATTTTTCTCCAGTTCTGAAGTTTAAAATAGAAGCTGGATGGTAATGGTGCACACTAGGGAGGCAGGGGCAGGCAGATCTCTGTGTTCAAGGCCAGCCTGGTCTACAGAGTGAGTTCTAGGACAGCCAGGGCTACACAGAGAAACTCTGTCTTGACCCAATAGGTTAATGTCAAAGAGAAGTAAAAATCAATTCCATAGTCATTATAAGTTACCTATTTTATAGCTTGTGAATTTGCCTGGCATTGAAGCATATCTTGAGCTTATTTTGTAAAGCTAGTTAATGTTCTACTTTAATGCCATTAGTGGTTAGATAGTTGCTTGGCTTTTTGCCCTCTGGTGCTGTGTCTGAGTTTATAACTACATTTTCTAACTTGTTATACCAATAGTATTTGAGGAATTAAAGGAAAGTGAAAGTAAAAGAAAGCTCTTAAACTCATTCTGGACCTTGTTCAGATCATGGCCTGTTTATTTGTGGCAAAAGAGTTTGACAAAAGAATTCCATAAAATACAGCTGACATTGATCAGCCAGTGCAGTGAAAGGAAACTACATAGCTAGGAGACAAGGGCTTTTTCTCAATTTATACCATGAGAATTTGCTACCATGGAGGGAGAGGGGGAAATGGGGTATGATCTGGCCTAGGCTAGTAGAGCCAGCCCTTCAGGCAGTTTCTTTTAGAAGGATTTAATCACCCAGAGAATTAGTGATCCATTCCAATAGAGATTTTTTTTTTTCTGTACTCACACACTTATTTTCAAAGATATATTGTCTTTAGAGCTACTGTTTTTGAGCAAATACTGTAGTGTCTACTATTTATACAGAGCAAAAATTCCCTAATTTTCATTTTGGTTTTTCAAAACAGTTTCTTTATGTAGCCCTGGCTATCCGGAACTTTCTCTGTAGACCAGGCTAGCCTCAAATTCAGATTTCCTCCTGCTTTTGCTTGGATTACAGGCATATGCTGCCGTGCACAACTGCTTAAATTCTTAAGTAGCTCTTTCTATCTATATTGTATGTTCAGGATTCTTAGGAGGTGAATTTAGCTTGTTAAGCAAGCAATTCTTTCTTGCCTCTCTGTATAGTCTTGATTCCCTGCTCAAGCCTTTCCTAGTCTATACTCTCCATGCTATTTTAAGTACTTGTAGTTCCCTTAGACATTTGCCCGCCCCTGTGCATTAGCAGCATGTGCTTCTCTTGGAGAGAACTCTCTAGACTGGCTCCTTGTAAGTACTGCTTGCTTATATGGAGGCATTTGACAGAGCCACTCCTGTATTGTCTGTTCTGACTCTTTGCACGTTTGAGAACTCCTGACATTTTAACTCTTTTTCTTTTTAAAGTATTATTTTACCTTAAACTACAGATCCCCGAAACCTAATAGAGGGGGATAAATAAGTGTGCTAAGTTAGTTGGGAACAGGAGAGGGTGAGTCCAATAGTTCAAAGATTTACAATTCACCAAGAAACATAATGATCATAAATCTCTGAACCATGGACGCCAGCACTCAGAAGGTGCTCTTTAACTTCTTATCTAACCTCTGTAGTTGTAATATGAAGTTAAACTGCAACAGGTGAATGCAATTTTTTTAAGACAATGAAGAATTTCTGTTGCGTTCCCATTCTTGTCACTATTGGACTTGTATTGATGGTTAAAGTATGATTTATACTAATGATATTATGAATGTCAAATTTTACTTGCACATTAGGTAACATGATCTATATTTCTTTTCAGCTCCAGAACCTGGGTATCAACCCAGCAAACATTGGCTTCAGTACCCTGACTATGGAGTCAGACAAATTCATCTGTATTAGAGAAAAAGTAGGAGAACAGGCCCAGGTGGTAATCATTGATATGAATGATCCCAGTAATCCAATTCGAAGACCAATCTCAGCAGACAGTGCCATCATGAATCCTGCCAGCAAAGTGATTGCGTTAAAAGGTATAAAGATTGTGGGTGGTTTTCTTGAAATTCTTATATGTATGTTATACAAATACAGTTATTGGTGTGCTCCTTTTCTTTTAGTATGTTGAGTAAATTTAATTAAATCTGTAAAGCTGCGATCAGTTCTGACTTTTATATGGAATGTTTTTGTGAAATGTCTTAGAATATATGCACTTGGAAAAATTTTACGTTTTGGGACAAATACATTCAAGTTTTATATCTGATATGATGAAACAGCTAAAAGCATTTCTGTATAAGGGAATGAAAGTATTATTCTGTAGTAAGCCATAGCTTAATATTAGGACTTAAGCACTTCAGAGTTTATTGACGATCAGCTTCTCCATTCTGTGCCTTTCTATGCTATAGGCTTCTTTGAACTTAGATCATCAAGCTCTAAAAATGGCTTGATTGACACTGGTCAGAGAGCGTGGAGGAGAATGAGAATGAATGAATACCAAAGTTTGGAATCAAGATTGTTTGCACACTTTTCTTTGACTTTATTTATCTATCTATCGTTTATTTCTTTACTTTCTTGCTTATTTTTAGCTGAGTCTTGGCTCTGCTCTCCAAGTTGGCTTTGACCCTCTTGCCCAAGTCTCTTGAGTGGCTGGGATTATAGGTGGGGGCAACTAGGCCCAGCCAAACTAACTTGTTTCCAAGGGAACTATACTGCCTATCAATTTAAATGAACTGAAACCATCTCATATTATCTGAGAACCTATTTTCTTTTCCTTTGAACTTTGGAATTAAGGTAATAGAAGAATAGACATTTCTATTAAGAATAATTAAGAATAGAAGAAGACTAGGTGCCAAACTACTGGACTTTTGAAATGGCATTTAAAATTGCCTCCTTTTCCTTCCTGCTTTAATTAAGGTTTAAACCCAAGGCTTTCACATGGCAGGTTTACAAATGATTACCACTGAGCTATTATGTTCCAGCCCTTGTTTTTCTTAATAATAAGAGAAAAGCATTCAGATTCCCAGTAATTTATAAGTGTGGATGAGTTTCTAGAGTGCTGAAGTTTTAGCCAGTCTTTCCTTCATATCATTTAAGCTTTGGGAGCTTGTTTTGGTTGTTTTCTGTTTTGTTTTGGTGAGGTAAGTCTCTGACAGTAGCCCTGGCTATCCTGGAATTTGCTGTGTAGACCAGGCTGGTTTCAAGCTCACAAAGCCCCACCTGCCTCTGCCTCCCTAGTACTGGAATCAGAGGCATGTATCACCATGTCCACACCCTTTAATCTCTAATAATACAAATGTTGAATAACTCTTATTAGAAATGATCAGGTCTAGAAGTATTGAGAGCTTTTTGACTTTGGGGAGTTCTTAAGAATTTTTTCTATAACATTTTGTCTATTTTGTGTGTTTTTGTGTGAAGTCAGAAGGCAACTTGGAGAAGTTTGTTTTCTCCTTGCACCATGTGGCTCCTGGGGATGACTTGGTAGCAAATGCCCTGCTGAACATCTCATACGTGGCCTGGATTTAGGAACCTTCACATAGATTTTATTCTGGATCATCACTGAAAGTAGAAAATTAGAAGCCCTAGCTTTCTGGTTTCGTGGTACATGTTTTGGAATATTTTTGAGTGTCAATATTTAACCTAGCCTACTGGCTGGAAATAAATGGTGGGCAGGTTGGGAGCTAAGAATAGAATAGTCAACAAATCATCAGAATTTGTCTCAGGGAAAGGTTGATCTCGTCTTCAGGAACCAGATGTTTTGTGACGGCATATATTTTGCTTCTGTCTAAAAGTATACTACATTTTAAATGTCCTTTGGCTTCCTTAAATAATTTGAATTCAAGTGCTTAGCATCCGTCACACTTCTTTTTAAAGGGCACCAACTAAATTTTGCCAAATTCTTTTCTATTTTTAATGTTACAGTTATCTTATCACATTTCTTAATGCTTTCTTATGTGTGCAGATGGTGAGTTACCTTAAATTAGATTGTGTTAGTCATTGTCCTGTTCTATAAAAAGAATAATTGAGAAATTTTTATAGCTTTGTAAAGTAGTATGTTATACTTTGTGTCTATTGGTCTATATCATGGCTGTTGTCCCTTGTTCCCTTCCCCAGACCCTTAAACTTACACGTTCTCCAGCCCCTTTCATGTAAAACAGAATAAAAGTCTAGTTATCTGGAGGTTGGAGGATGCAGCAAAAAAAAAGCAAATGCTTACAAAATTCTGCTTCCCTCTGAAGCCAGTTTAAACTTCATGCCTTCTTTTTATAAACAGGACTATAACTTTCACAATTTCTTGAGTCTGGTTGTGGTTTATAAACTATGTGGGATGGGAGTCCTCTACTTGGCCTTATAGAAGAAGGTTTTGTTCGTAGTAAGATGGGTTGTGGCACAAAGCTTCTTAGGCTTTGTCTGTCTCCTACCTACCCTGTCACCCTCCCACTCTGACAGCTTTTGTCCTTTTGGAGGCAGATTCTCTGTGGCTCAGGAATAGAGTTATCCTCAGTCTCCGAGGGCTATTCTTCATAGCCTAGCGATAGCTGTGGGCTTTGACCACTGTTGATATCAGTGAAATCACCTTTTCAACAGTGACCAGTTGTAAATGACAAGTATAAGCCCCTACATTTATAACATTCAAAGCAAATTTCACCCTCCTTTACTAAATGCTGGCTGTCTTAACTGGATGAAGCTTGAACTTGTTCTCACCTCCAGTATATTAACAGCATCTGAAACCGCCCTCCTTCCTGTCTCCCTTTCCTTTCTCCAGCACTGCTACTTCCCTTTGTATCTTAGACCAGTTAAATGTAGCATGCACTGTGGTGACATGGCAAAGTTGAAGCACAACTTCTTTTCAAAACGCAGTTTCCAAAAAAATTAAGTTGGATGAGAGATGACTGCATTTTAAAAAGTAGATATTTCTTCCTTGTGTTTCTATTAGATCTGCTTTGTCTTACGTATATACAGTTATCTTAGTTTTTGTGTGAACTATGTAATGAAAGTTACAGCTTTGTTTTTTATCAGTAAGGAAGCTGTTCCTTAGTCTCATTTTCATTTGGGATATAGAATCCTGTAGAAGTCATGTGTTTAGATTAGAGTGTTGCAGACATGTTCATAAGAGGTAAAAGAGTTTTGCTTAAGGTTGTAGGTGTAGATTGATTTGCTTGGTCTCAGCTGTTAGCTCCTCAGTGACTGTAGCTCTAGCAGTATGACTCCTGTGTGTAGTTAGTTGTTAGTCTTAGAATAGAATCACATTATTTGGAAGTTAACGGCTAGTCTAGGTAGGTATTAATTCATTTTGAACTTCGCTGTTTTCATTATTCTTTAATTCTGTATTTAGCTGCTAAAACTCTTCAAATATTTAACATTGAAATGAAAAGTAAAATGAAGGCCCACACCATGACTGATGATGTCACCTTCTGGAAATGGATCTCCTTGAATACGGTTGCTCTTGTTACGGATAATGCAGTTTATCACTGGAGTATGGAAGGAGAGTCTCAGCCAGTGAAAATGTTTGATCGTCATTCTAGCCTTGCAGGATGCCAGATTATCAATTACCGTACAGATGCGAAGCAGAAGTGGCTGCTTCTGACGGGCATATCTGCACAGGTAACATTTTTTAGTTTTTGGTAAAGAAGTTATCTAAGAAACTGTTTTGACATACACTTTAGTTAGGTCTTTAAACCAAATATTGTTGATTTTTGACTGATTTTTGAAAGACGTTTTCTTTTTAAAAATAATTGCTGGCTTAAATTTTCTGACATTAAATTGCTGACAAAATTTCAGTATTTTTACCAGTTTTTAATTCTTACAGATAAGTAGCGATTGAGTGATTTAGGATTTATCATGGAGTCAGTGTGCTGCAAGGTGACTACTTCTGTATTGTTGTATTAAGATGGTGTAAAGAGATGATCACATGAGGCATGTCTTATTAAGCTTTAATAAGATAAGGTTTGGAGTTAAACTTTAAGTTAAGATGTGTCAACTCTACATTGAGAGACTCAGTAACAAGTACTGCTGAAGATGGCAAAGTATTATAATTGTTTCACAAATTGAATCTGAGATCTACTGGATCATTGGATCTCTAAAATTTATTTATTTTTTGATCCTTTGTAGCAAAATCGTGTGGTTGGAGCTATGCAGCTCTACTCTGTAGATAGGAAGGTGTCTCAGCCTATTGAAGGACATGCAGCTAGCTTTGCACAGTTTAAGATGGAAGGAAACGCAGAAGAATCAACATTATTTTGTTTTGCTGTACGGGGTCAGGCAGGAGGGAAGGTAAGTTTTGTCTGGTAATTATTTTAGTGAGTCTGTTTTTGCTCTCTGTCATCTAAGTTCAAAATAGTCATCATTATTCCTTACTAATTTCATAATATTCAGATTTGTGGTGACTGACAAATGGTATGTATAGTAATACTTGTGTAAAATGATAGCATTCTTTTAATATTATTTCCTGTTCTGCCATCTGTGGATCTTACTTTTTTTTGTTTGTTTGTTTTTGTTTTTTCGAGACAGCGTTTCTCTTTATTGTTTTGGAGCCTGTCCTGGAACTCACTCGGTAGACCAGGCTGGCCTCAAACTCACAGAGATCCGCCTACCTCTACCTCCCAGATGCTGGGATTAAAGGCGTGTGTCACCAACGCCCGCCCGGCACATCTTACTTTTTTTTTTTTTTTTTTTTTTAAACAGTATCTTGTTATATAACCTAGGCTGGCTTTGAAGTTGGTCCTCTTGCCTCAGACTCTGAGTGCTGTGATTGTACCATTGTGCCCAGCTTTGAGATTTTTGTATTCTTTATTTTGATTGCCTTTATCAAAAGCTTTTTGTTGGTGTCTTTCACTTTATTCTGCATAGACTCATTAGAGTTGCTAAAATACCCATTTGTGTGTGCAGTACATGTCTACAGTCTGATTCGTTAAGTATTGCCCAAGATGAGGTCTAATTTCGTTAAGTGCTGTCCTTTTTAAATCCCCTAGGTGACTTGATATCGATGGAATGGACAGCAGCTTAAGTTGGAGAGTCTCATCCCTAGCTGTACATTGAAATTACCTAGACAGATTGAAGCACTTTGTGTATTAGAATTCGTAGTTGAGGACAGCAGAAACAAGGTCTGGTTGATTAGAGTATAAAAAATTTATTGACAGGATACTGGATACCTGGCAGTAGCTAGGACAGCTGTATCACTTAATGTGGGAAATGAGAAATGAGAAAAACTGGGTAGTAGCCAGGGTTCCAGCCAGAAATCATGCTGTGCTTTTGTTGCGCCTGCACTGCTGGATGCCTGGTGACTCAGTTTGCTGCTATTTTCACTGCTACAGTAGATAGACTCTCCCTCAGTCTTAAAATAGCCTGGTGTCCTGAGCTCCCTCTTTGAAGTCCAGTATAGGCAAAGTCACATAACTTGCATCCTAGCTCTGAGAGACATGGAAAACAACGGTTTGCTGCTTCTAAAATGGAAGACTGGCTCTACTTGCTGCCAGAATTTGTAGAGTACTGTCCTCTGTCCCTGAGTCAGAAAGACCCTAACTTCATCTTTGTTTTACACTTCTCCACCCCATGTCTCCCTAGTCTCCCTAGTAAGTAGTTTTCAAGACTAAAGAAAGAGATTGGCACTGATTTGAATCCTAGCACTTAGGAGGCTCAAATGATCCTCCTGCCTCTACCTTTCATGTAGTCCTAAGAGTGCTGGAGTTACAGATGTATTTGGCTATTTTACATGGTTTCCAGGGATTGAATTTAGGTAGGTGGTCAGGCCTATTCCATAATTGCTTTTACCGACTGAGCCATCTTGGCAGCCCCATCATGACTTTAAAGTCAGAGCTACTTCCTACCTTTATAATTTTGACACTTCAAGAACGGTATATAGCTGAGCATGGTGGTACACGCCTTAAACCCAACACTCAGAAGGCAGGCAGATCTCTGTGAGTCCCACGCCACCCTGACCTAAATATTGTTTCCAGGCCATCCAGGGCAACATTGTGAGACCTTGTTTCAACAACAAAAAAGAAATCATAAAGTAAATGTGTGACTTTGAGATTAGTGTCCTCCTTGTCAGTTTTAATTTATGGAGGAGTATCCCACAGTATAGATGGATCAAATAAGTTAACTGGTTATAGAATGTTTTGGTTATTTCCATTTGGGGGGCTTCAGAAACTTGCAGTGACTAGCTGATACATGATTTAGATTGATAGTAATTTTCTTTTCTTTGAACAGTTGCATATCATTGAAGTTGGTACACCACCCACAGGGAACCAGCCCTTCCCAAAGAAGGCAGTAGATGTTTTCTTTCCTCCAGAAGCACAAAATGACTTTCCTGTTGCAATGCAGGTATTTCATCAAAATAAATGGATTTTTAAAAATCTCAATTTAAATCCTGTTCATAGTTGATATGAATGGTACTTAAAAGAATTACTGTTGGGGGCCCCTGGTAGTGGATTAGTATTTTTCCCTGGTGTAAGAAGGGACTTTGTGAGTCCATCACACGTGAAGGGATGCACTCTAGGCCTGGACACATGGGGGAGGGCCTAGACCCAGCCCAGGATGATATGGTGGACTTTGGGGGAGCTCCCGTCTAGGGACCTACCCTGCCTGGGGAGTGGAGGGTGGATGAGGCAGGGGATTGGGGGGACGGAATTGACATGTGAAGCCAGCTTGTTCCTAATTTGAACTAATAAAAAAAAAATAATTTTAAAAAGAATTACTGTAAAATAAAATAAAAATTATTAATAAAACTTGGCAAAATAAGACTCCTATTTTCATGTAATAAGTAAATTGGGTTATCTTAAGTTGTCAGAATTACGTTCTCTTGTGTTTTATGTTTGAGCTTTGGCTATCCCACATATAAATAACAAGCTGTAATGAAAGAAACCTTAATATTACCTTAGCATTTTTCTTTTAAGTTTCATGACAAAGTTTTATAGAAAGTTTTCATTTTCTCTTCAGATAAGTGAAAAGCATGATGTGGTGTTCTTGATTACCAAGTATGGTTATATCCACCTCTATGATCTTGAGACTGGCACATGCATCTACATGAACAGAATCAGTGGAGAAACGATCTTCGTTACTGCACCTCATGAAGCCACAGCTGGAATAATAGGAGTCAACAGAAAGGGACAAGTAAGAAAACCTTTACCAAAAGCATCTAAGTAACAAGTATCACTATCGTATTTTTTTCCAAAGGTAATTTTGGATATCATGGGGGGAAGGCAAAGAGAAGAAATGAGATGAGGGTCAAAGGATATAAAATAGCAGATGTAAGTTTAGACATCTGTTCAAGGTGAAGATTAAAGCTAATAAAATTGTATTAGTGTGTGTGTGTGTGTGTGTGTGTGTGTGTGTGTGTGTGTGGGTGCATGATTATACACATTCATGTGCTAAATATATGTAAAAAGATTATTATATAAAATCCAGCATGGTGCATGCCTTTAATCCCCATACTTGGAGGATGAGGCAGGGGGATTTCTGTGAGTTGGAGGCCAGACAAAGCTACATAGCAAGAACCTGTTTCAAAAAACATAAAACTAATAAAACAGGGTGTTGGTGGCATACCCCAGCACTTGGGAGGCAGAAGCAGGTGGATCTCTGTGAGTTGGAGGCCAGCCTGGTCTACAGAGAGAGTTCCAGGACAAGGCTCCAAAGCAATGCAGAGAAACCTTGTCTCGAAAGAAACAAAAAACAAACAAACAAAAACCCCTAGATATAATAAAACCTTTAGCCAGGAGGCAGGCAGATCTCTGTGAGTTCGAGTTCAAGACCAGCCTGGTCTACAAGAGCTACTTCCAGGACAGCCTCCAAAGCCACAGAGAAACCCTGTCTCGAAACCCTCCTCAAAAACAAAACAAAAAACAAAACAAAAAAAAAAAACCCACAAATCCTAATAAAAATAGATAGAAAGGTTGTTGTCTGATTTGTTTTTTAATTGTTTTAATTACAAAAACAAATTAATTTGTTTTAATTAATTTTTAATTCACTAACCTCTTTTTAGGTTTAGTGAATGGCATGAATCATTATTTAGTTTTTGTTATTTTATATGTCTGGGTATTTTGCCTGCATGTATGTCTGGTGCCTGTAGAGATGAGAAGAGGGCATCAGAACCCCTGAAACTGGAGTAACGGTTGTGAGCCACCATATGGATACTGGGAATCAAACCAAGGTACTCTGGAAGAGCAGCCAGTGCTCTTAGCCACTGGGCCATCCTTCCATCACCTGTATTTAGTTTTAAAAGTTTTATCACCAAAAAAATTAACATAAACACTACAGTATATAATAATAAAATCTTTTTAATACTGTATCATAGAAACTATTTGGTTTAGAGCCAGTTAAGTGTGTATATTTTTATTATCAAAAGAAGTAAATCTCTGGGGGAAAAAACTGTTTTGGTTACAAATTGATAAACTCCTTTTTCTAGAGTTTTCTTTCCCTATTATCTCCAAGATAGGATTCATCAGCTACAGAGATAAGAATTCTACCTAATCCCACTTCTTAACTTCCTAAGTATTATTGAATATTTAATGTGAGAAGGTCATATGTTAAAGTACCTATTGTGGTGTCTGTAAAGTTACCCAGTTGGGTAGGATATCATCCAGTTGATAATAACTGTTCTGAGTTTGAGACATTTGACAACTCTTCATATCGTCTAGCAAGTGGTTCTTACTCTGTGAGAGTGTTGTCTTGAAACAAGAAAAAATTCTTCCGGGACGGATTTTATTTTCTAACTAAGATGGTTAAGATTCTTAAAAGGGGGCTGGAGAGATGGCTCAGAGGTTAAGAGCACTGACTGCTCTTCCAGAGGTCCTGAGTTCAATTCCCAGCAACCACATGGTGGCTCACAACCATCCATTTTGAGATCTGGTGCCATCTTCTGGTGTACAGATATACATGGAAGCAGAATGTTGTATACATAATAAATAAATAAAATCTTTTAAAAAAAAAATTCTTAAAAGTTAGTATTATATTGCTTTTGTTATTTACTGCTTCTCCTCTAGATTATTTTGTTGTTGTTGTTTTTGTTTGGTTGGTTGGTTTTTCAAGGCAGGGTTTCCTGTCTCTCTGTGAAACAGTCCTGGCTTTCCTGGAACTCACTCTGTAGACCAGGCTGGCCTCAAACTCATAGAGATCCACCTGCTTCTGCCTTCTGAGTACTGGGATTAAAGGCGTGAGTCACCACTGCCCGACCAAAAGGTGATTTTTAAAAAAAAATTATGTAGTTCTCATCTATATATTCAGTTATATATGTCTCTCTTGGGTGGGGGGGGCAGAATTCAAGAATGAGTTGGTTAGGGATGATTTGATGATCAGGAGCTATAGAACTGGGAGTGCTTCCTTCTTTCTGCTATTGAGGTCCTTCTGTAATTTTACCATACACTGTAAGCATCGATAGCAAAGGTTCTAGAAATAAATTATCATGGTAGCAAAACAAGCAAGTGTCAGAATTTCACAAAAGTAACTTGATTACCTTTGTGACTTAGTCTAAAAAGATTTAACATTCTCTAATTGTTAAATTGCAGGTTCTGTCAGTTTGTGTGGAAGAAGAAAACATAATTCCTTACATCACCAATGTCCTACAAAATCCTGATTTGGCTCTGAGAATGGCTGTGCGCAACAACTTAGCTGGTGCTGAAGAACTCTTTGCCCGGAAATTTAACGCTCTTTTCGCCCAAGGAAACTACTCAGAGGCTGCAAAGGTGGCTGCTAATGCACCAAAGGTAAATTGTTAGGAAATTGAAGTTGCTATGATTGAGAGATTGTTAATACTCTCTGTTTCTGATACTGCTAGAAGAGGAACCAGCTTTGTAAGAGTAACTAGCCACTTTACAGTTATGTTTTTCCTCTAATAGAATATGATAATTAATTCTCAGTGTCTCTAGAGTTGATGGTTAAAAGCCCAGAATCTTAACAAGGCTATGAGCTATAGACCTATCATGGATGTAGGTGCAGCTATGTCCAATTACTAAAGTACAATACTGTTTGGCCTCATAAACGATGGCTGTCTATTTTAATTTGGAAAGTTAATCACTAAACATATGTTCTTCAATTTGTAGTCAGTAGAGTTTTTAGAAAAATGAACTGAATTTATTCCTATAAGCCTTTATATTGCTTTATGTAGAACTGAATTAAAACTTTGCATTCCTAACCAGTGTTAATTATGAAATTTGTACTTAATTGAACTTGATTTAATGACTTAGTGGTTACCATTTCATGATTATGTTTATCCTTTTTAACTTTTTAAAAACATTTCGAGATTTATAATGTAATTACTTATTTTTCTCTTCCCTTTGTCCCTCCAATTCCTCTCATATGTCCCTCCTTGTTGCTCCCTTTCAAATTCATATCTTTGTTAATTGTTGTTACATACATATATGTATATGAATATATTTCTAAATATATAAATCCAACCTTCTCAGTCTATAATCCTACCTGTAAGTACATGTTTTCAAGGCTGACGATTAGAAAGTAGATAACCAATTGGTGTGCTCTTCCCTGGGAAGCCCATTTGTGCTTATTGTTTCATTCACTGACATAATTAATTACCTTGGCATGTTTCTCATTTTGAATCATTTTTGTGACCCTGAGCCAGCTATATGGCAGGCATTTATTGAACCTGCACTATGGTGAATATTTGGAAGGTGGAATTAATAGGTCATATATGCAGTTCAGATTCATCAGAGACCTATAGGTTTAGTAGTGTGATTGAGCCACTGAGGAATATTTAATATTTCTTCTTAAAGGGAATCCTTCGTACTCCAGACACCATCCGTCGATTCCAGAGTGTCCCAGCTCAGCCAGGTCAAACTTCACCTCTCCTTCAGTACTTTGGAATCCTTTTGGACCAGGGCCAGCTGAACAAATATGAATCCTTAGAGTTGTGTAGACCTGTACTTCAGCAAGGGCGAAAACAGCTTTTGGAGAAATGGTTGAAAGAAGATAAGGTACTTTTAATTCATATTGATAGACTTTTCCTTTGATTAAATACCATGTTAACAAGTTAACATTGTTAGTTTCCATCAGAGTATGTCCATCTGTTATTTGTTGCTTGTGGAAATAAACATGAAGAGACCTTGCCATTTTAAAATGTGATCTAGGATTGTTGCTTTATCTTTAAAACTACTAGCCTAGAAGTGAGTTACTATTTTTTGGCCTTGGAAAATTTTCACATGAGATGCTTACTTCATTGTACAGGCATATTTGTCAGTGTATCTGACATTGCTCAACATGTGAACTTCCTCATCTCACTCTTGATAGGCATGCCTCGTAGTTCCTGCTCTCTATACAAGAACTTATAAACCCATCAACATTGTAATTTTTGATGATGGTAAGCATACTTGGGTATGCAGGGAGAACATGTTAAATAAAATGTAAGATCACTCATGTGTTTACAAGACAGCTAGTCTTGTTTTACAGAAAAATAGAGGATTTTATTTCAGACTTGAGAGGCTTGGCCACATACCATTCTCTACTAAAGAATAGCTAAGCTAACATATATGAGAGCTAGTCTAGTTTCATAAGATAACAGGATGGGAACAACCAAGATAACTGAATTGATCTATATAATAGGCTTTTAGTATTTTGAATATCATTACCTTTTGTTTGTACTCGCATGGGACTCATTTGTAGTAAAATTGGTTCATTGGTCATTAGTTAGCATGTTCAGTTAAGATGTATAGATTGATAGAACTTCTTTGAATGCTGAGTTATAAGGGTTACTCTTTTTAAAAAGTTACCATGGGGACACAAGAGATGGTTCAGTGGTTAAGAGAACATACAGTTCTTGCAGAGGATCCAAGTTAAATTCCCAGCACAAATGTTTGGCTGCTCCCAACTCCCTGTAACTTCCAGGGGAATCTGATAGCCTGACCCCCATAGTCTCTGGCATTCATGAGTCTATATAGAATAATGTAGAAAATCGGACGAGTAGTGTGGGTTAGTGGCAGAGGAGTGACCTACTTAGAATATAAAGGCCCTAGTATGTTCAGTTCCCAAAACTGCAAAAAAAAAAAAAAAAAGAAAGAAAGAAAGAAAAAAGTGGGGGGGGGGAGTGTTGAAACTCATACAAAGTATAAATATTGTTTTGTTTTTGAGATATTCTGTGTAGCGATCAGGCTGTCCTCGAATTCACAGAGATCCACCTATCTCTGCCTTTTGAGTGTTGGGATTAAAGGACACTACCTAGCCTCAAAGCAGAACTCTTAGGAAGCTGACTTGAAGGTGTATCTGCTATAAACTACCTGGAAAATTTTTAATTTGTGTATATTTGACTTTGTAAATTCGGTGTTGTGACTTACCATCTCAAATCTTAAAATTAAAAGAAAAGGTAAAAGATGGATCTTAGGCTCTTGAAATGTAAATGTTATAGTCTAGTTTAAAAATTACCCTTAGAATTTTAAAATAGCCCATATATAATTAAGGGTTATTTGGCTTAATTTCTAAAATTAATTACTTTACTTATTTAGAGACAATGTCTCCATTTGGGGCACAGGCAGGTCTTGTACTCCTGCCTTAGCCTCTAAGTGTTAGAAGTGTTAATATTATAGGCTAACAGACATTGTCCATTTTCATTGACATTACTACATCAAAAGTTATATTATCTGGGGTCTAAAGAGATAACTTAGTGGTTCAGAGCATATATTAAGTTCTTCCAGAGGACATGAGTTCAGTTTCTAGCACCCATGTCATATGTCTCGCATCTACCTCAAACTCCAGCTCCACAGGAGGATCTGATGTCCTCTTCTGATCTCCATGGGCACATACAAATAGAAAAACTTGTGACATTGTTTTTGAGAAGTTGTAAACGTGACTATAATGTTTGAATCTTAGTAGTTAGATGTATAAGATTCTTCAATAAAGAAAAGCTATATTCTTAACAAGGTAATAAATTCTTAGAAGCAAAGTTTTGGTGGCTGTCTTCCTTGTTTAAGGAGGAATTCTGGAGAATTGTACAGAACCATTCCTGTGAGTACAGTATCAGTTCCCCAAACCCAAATCCTCACATTTATATTTTTGGAAAATGAGTAAGTATCTTCTATATGAGTTGTATTTATAGGGAAGTAGCACCAACTACTCGTTTATGAAATAACTAATGGGTTACTAACCAAATTCTCTTTCCTTTGGACAGCTGGAATGTTCTGAAGAACTGGGTGATCTTGTAAAATCTGTGGACCCAACATTGGCACTTAGCGTGTACCTCAGGGCCAATGTCCCGAATAAAGTCATCCAGTGCTTTGCAGAGACAGGTCAAGTCCAGAAGATTGTTTTATATGCTAAAAAAGTGAGTTCAGTGGAACAAATTATCAATACAAACTTATGGGGGGGAAAAAAAGCTTGAGAGAAATTAGCCTTAACTTGCTTCAGTTTTGTTGGTTAATTTCTTTGAACTTAAAAAATTCCTTAACTAATGTATGTAGAGTCCATAACTAGTGTCATTACATGAATGCAAGTACAATTCTAAGAGCAGAGCCATGTTAAAAATTTGTTAGTATATTGGGGGCTGGAGAGAAGGCTCAGCTGTTAAGAGCACTGACTGCTCTTCCAGAGGTCCTGAGTTCAATTCCCAGCAACCACATGGTGGCTCACAACCATCCGTTATAAGATCTGGTGCCCTCTTCTGGTGTGCAGATGTACATAGAAGCAGAATGTTGTATACATAATAAATAAATAATATCTTTAAAAAAAATTGTTAGTATAGTTTTTGAAATGGTCTTCTACTGACTAGAAGTAATACAATTATATAATCTAGGCAAATATGTCATAAAGATATAATAATTTATATGTATCAGCAGTTCTGTTAGTAATTCTTATTACAGAAAAAGCTGTAGATGCTTTAAAAATGACTGAAGTCTCTGTTCGTAGGTTGGATACACTCCAGACTGGATCTTTCTCCTGAGAAATGTTATGCGCATCAGTCCAGATCAGGGACAGCAGTTTGCTCAAATGTTAGTTCAGGACGAAGAGCCTCTTGCTGATATCACACAGGTAATGGCATGTTAAAACTCTGTAGTTCATAGAGATGGAGCTGGGGGGAGTCTTAACTCTTACAAACTCTTCAGAAGAATAAGCTAAACTTTGAGCTGGCAAATTATGAGTGCCTACAAGGATAAACCCCAAGTACCTTACCAAAACATGTTGCAGAAGTGTAGATTTTCTAAATATTTATTATCTCAAAGCTGTTATTACAGGCACAGGTGTGCCACACCTGTGTATGGTGGTCAGGGGACAACTTGTGGAGTTGTCTTTTCCTACCACCTGTTTGGACCCAGGTAGTCAGGCCTGCTGCACACACAAGCCTCTATCCACTGAGTTGTTAAACTGGCCCAGTAAATATTTTTAAAATAAACACCATTTTGATTAGGGAAGTATATATGAAAAATCATATACATAATATTGTCCAAAAGGCTAAGTAGTGGTATATAAATGATAAAACACAAACAGTGGTGTCCGCTACTGTTGAGGAAAGAGGGGCATATAGAAAAGTATAAGTCGGCCAGGCATTGGTGGTGCATGCCTTTAGTGCCAGCACTCTGGAGGCAGAGGCAGGCAGATCTCTGTGAGTTCGAGGCCAGCCTGGTCTACCAAGTGATTTCCAGGACAGGCTCCAAAACAATACAGAGAAACCCTGTCTCAAAAAAAAAAAAAAAAAAAAAAAAAAAAAAAAAAGTGTAAGTCAACTTTTCATAATTGTATTTCCTTTGATTTTTTTTAAAACTTATTTTTAAACCATTACTCAAAGTAACTGCGTTTTAAATAACTTATTTTAGGTTTAGTTTGTTTTAAGACAAAGTCTCATTCTGTAGCTCTGTAAGCCTGGAATTCATATGTAGACCAGACTGGTTTGGAAGTTCCTACCTCTGCCCCTTGGAATACTAGCATTTACTGGTGGGAGCTGGTTTACTCATACACCTAGTTTTTCCAATAATTTTAAGTATGAGGTCAGGTTGTCTAAATAATATTCTGTAAATCTGGTGGGGTGGGGGGTGAGGCGGTGCTGGAGAGGTGGCTCGGCAATATGGAACCCTTGTTGCTCCTGTAGAGGACCCAGGGTTGATTCCCAGCTCATAGACATCCTTAATTCTCGTTCCAGGGGATATGATGTTCTGTTCTGGCCTCTGAGTACCACACATGCATGTGATGTATATACATACATACATACATACATGCAAAAACTCAAGTCACATATTACTATATGTGATATTCTCATACCTATAAAATAAGTAAATATAAAAAAAACAGTTAAAAATAAGAAAACTTTGAACTTGTATTTTGCATTTTTGTACATAAAAAGATCATGTTGATTTTGTATGCGTGTTGTCAATAATGTTTTGGAAATTTTTAAATTTTTATTAATGTAAAAAATGAGTTTTAGCATGACTTTTTCATACATACACATTTTTTTGTTTGTTCATATTTTCCTCCTAAACTGATCACCCTATTTGGTTCTACCCCTTCAATAGTATCTTATATCTCCTGATTTTTCTCTTTTAATAGATTGTAGATGTCTTTATGGAATACAATCTAATCCAGCAATGTACCGCCTTCTTACTTGACGCTTTGAAGAACAATCGCCCCTCTGAAGGTCCTTTACAGACACGTTTGCTTGAGATGAACCTTATGCACGCACCTCAGGTATGTGTTGTTGTCTTAGTTAGGCTTTCTGTTTCTGTGATAAAACACCATGAACAAATGCAACTTAGGGAGGAAAGGGTTTATTTCATCTTAAACTCTTCACCCCATAACTGAGAAGTCAGGGCAGGAACCTAGAGACAGGAACAGAAGCAGAAGTCATGGAGGAGCACCGCTTATTGGGTTGTTTGGCCTGCTTTCTAATGTAACCTAGGACTACCTACCTGTTCAAGGATGACACTTTGACTGGTGGGCTTCCCCCCTCCCCATCCATCATTAGTCAAGAAAACATCCTACAAACTTGCCTATCAGTAGTCTACTAGAGCCGCTTTGAAAGTTGAGTTTCCCTCTTCCCAGATGACCTTAGCCCATGTCAAGTTGACATTTAAACTGCCAACATAGTTGTCATGCTTCCAATCCTGTTATGATTGATTAAGCAGAAGTTCAGATGTTTACTCAGAGTTTTGAGGTGTTTTTAATGAAGAAAATTTACCTAGCATCCTTTGATATTTTTCATTCATTCAGTATTGAATTGTAATGTCCTTTTTGGGTGTTGTGTATGATGTAAAGAGGAGGTGATACAAGCTCATCTTGTCTGATTTTCTAGGTTGCAGATGCTATTCTAGGTAATCAGATGTTCACCCACTATGACCGGGCTCATATTGCCCAGCTGTGTGAAAAGGCGGGCCTACTGCAGCGTGCATTAGAACACTTCACCGATTTGTATGATATAAAACGTGCCGTTGTTCATACCCATCTTCTTAACCCTGAGGTATTTTGTTTCTTATCTGTTAGTTGTGATTAATTGGTATGTTGGCACTGGATGATAGTTAATTATTCATTTTTTTTTCTCTAGTGGCTAGTGAATTACTTTGGCTCCTTATCAGTTGAAGACTCCCTAGAATGTCTCAGAGCCATGCTGTCTGCCAATATTCGTCAAAATCTACAGATTTGTGTTCAAGTGGCTTCTAAGTATCACGAACAACTATCAACTCAGTCTCTGATTGAACTCTTTGAATCATTCAAGAGTTTTGAAGGTAATTAGGAATGTAAGAATTGGTAGTCAAGAGAGACATATAATCAAACCTTTGGAAATTATCTTTCACAAAACTTAAATTTTATGGGACATGGCCTCTGTGTGTGAGATCCTATGGATATACAGTATAGAAGACCATCTGCTTGGATATTTTATGAGTGAATTAAAAGCAGAATTTGGGATAAAAATGTGTATTGTCTTTGTGTTGTATAAATGAAAATACTGATAGCTAGTTACATGAATATTGCATGCATAGATCTGGCTCTTGAAATAGCAAACAGTTCTCCTAAGGGCATTTTGTGCTTCGCTAGGTTGGTACTGCAGGTGCTTAGTGCTGGGTGATTGCTCACTGTATGGCAGCTGTCTGTGTATGCAAAATCAGCATACTCTTTGACTTCTACCCACTAAGTCACAATAGCATTCGTTCTATCAGTCGTACTTATTTAACCACTTGTTAGGCAGCTCTTAGGGTCATTCGCTAAATCCTGGTCCCTCCTTAACCTTTTTTTCTGTCTTGGTGGTATTAGTGCTCTATGTAGAAGGGGTAGAATAGGAGATTCCGCAAGTTACTTTGGTTTTTGTTTGCTAACAATATGTTGAATTTACTGTTTAGCACAGTAGCTACTGGCCACGTGTAGCTATTTAAAATTTTTGTAGTCAGTCTAGCTGAACTTGTGGTGAGCCGCAGGAGGTTAGTGGCTGAAGCAGACAGTCGTCTAGGTGAGAGAAACTGTCATCGCTGTAGAAAGTTCTGAACAGCACCACACTAAATTCTTTTGAAACTGCTTTTACATGTCTTCTCTTATTTATATGTGGGAAAACGTCTGGTATTTGATACTTGATTTAAAATCTCTCATATGGAATGTGGTATTTGCTTTGCTATTGGTCTCTTACTATTTGAAACTTTGGGGCCAGGCATAGTAGCCACTTGCCTGCGTTTTAGCAATCTGAAGAATGAGGCAGGAGGGTCACATATTCAAGGACAACTTGATCAAAAGCCTCCCCAAAACCAGAAAAACGCTTGTAAACAGAATTTTCTACTTTATAGGGTTTGAAATTTAGGTTTGTTTTATTGAACAGGTTCCTGGATTAATTTGTATTCTTACTGGACTTAAGTAGCCAGTTTATTAGGGACATTTTCTATAACGATGGCTTCTAATTCTTAAATAATTTTCATTCTGCCATTCTTTAGAGTCCATTTAGGCAAGCTTGGTGGCACATGCCATTAATTTCAGCACTTTGGAGTCAGAGGCAGGAGGATTGCTGTGAGTTAGAGTCCAGCCTGACTTACACAATAAAATCCAGGACTATATAGAGAGACACTGCCTCAAAAAACCAAAAAGGCCAGGAAAGGAAATGTGCTTATGTCACTTAATTCCAATTGTTTTTGTCTCTTTAAGGTCTCTTTTATTTTCTGGGATCCATTGTTAACTTTAGTCAGGACCCAGATGTGCACTTTAAATACATTCAAGCAGCTTGCAAGACTGGGCAGATCAAAGAAGTGGAAAGAATCTGCAGAGAAAGCAACTGCTATGATCCTGAGCGAGTTAAGAATTTTCTCAAGGTAGGTGGCTTTGAGTTGCATGCGTGTGGATGGTGAGGGGTCAGCAGTTGTACAAGGGTTCAGTCATGCTTGGAAATCTTTTCCTTACACTTGAAAATTTTAGCATTCTTAAAATCTGTGCTGGGTTATTTTTTTCTAAACTTAATACTCTGTGGTTTTTAAAGAAATAAGGAAGGAAATTAGTAAGTAGTACTTAAGAACTACCATCTGTTTAAAAAGAAGGAAAAACAGTTTCATCTTCTATGAATTTCCTTTTTTTTAAAATTTTCTAAAGAAAAACATTTTGGGGTTTTTAGTTGGTCGTCCCCCTCACCCCCCACCCCCCTATCTAAGACAGGGTCTCCCTACATAGCCTTGTCTATCCTGGAACTCACAGACTAGACTCAAACTCACAGAGATCTGCCTGCCTCTGCCTCTCAAGCGCTGGCATTAAAGGTATGCACCTCTGTGCCCTGTTTTAAGAAAAACATTTTTTTAAAGTTGTTGTTAATACATTTTGGAACGCTTCGATCTTTCCACATATGGTGACACACAGGTGTAAGTAAGGCCAGCACTTGGGAGGCAGATCTCTGAGTTCAAGCCAGCCTGGTCTACATGGTGAGACCTTGTGTTGAAATGGGGGAAGAAGGTAATCACCCTGACCTCCAGTCCTTAGAATGCTTTGATTCCTTTTTTCCTTTCTCTTTCTTTCTTTCTTTCTTTCTTTCTTTCTTTCTTCCTGTCTTCCTCTCTTCCTCTTTTCCTCTCTTCCTCTCTTTCTCTCTTTCTCTCTTTATTGGTTTTTCGAGACAGGGTTTCTCTGTGCCTTTGGAGTCCCTGAAATGTGTAGCTCTTGTCGACCAGGCTGGTCTCAAACTCTCAGAGATCTACCTGCCTTTGCGTCCCCAGTGCTGGGATTAAAGGAGTGTGCCACCACCACCCAGCTTCTTTTTTGTTTCTTTAGGCCCAATTTTTGTTTTATTTTATTTTGTTTTTATTTTATTTTGATTACTGCCTTTTAAATTTTTTGTCTGGGTAACGTGATGTTCGTACTAGGTAGTTTCGTCCTGTCACGTGAGTCCCAGGGATCAGACTCAGATCACCTTTTCAGCAAACACCCTTATCCTTTGAGCCATCTTAACATAGCCCCCTTCCTAGTTTTTTGAGAATGTAATCTCACTTCACAGTGTCTAGGCTGGCCTTGCCTCATTTTCCAGAATGCTGAGGTTATAGGTGACAAACCACATCCATCATTCCTGGCTTAGCTTTCCTTTCTTTTACTGTCTCTTGCTCTGTTTAAAACCATTATTTATGCTTTCATTTTGTGTTGGTGGTGGTGTTCCTGTGCCTACGCAAGTACGTGGAGGTCAGAGGTCAGCTCTTAGGAGTCAGTACTGTCTTTGCATGATGGAGTCCTGGGTCTAGAGCTCAGATAGTTAATCTCGGTGGCAAGCACCTTTACCTACTGAGCCATCTTGCCAGCTCCTCACTTAGATTTTTTTTTTTTTTTTATCAGTTTACCTTTGGTATCATTTTCAGGATCCTTTATTGTATGCTAAGAAAATATCCAGGTTTATTTCTAGCATCAAATTTGCCTGAGTTTAGTTTTCTTTTGAAAATATTAATCATATATAATTCATAAATCAAGAGGTGTTGAGAAATCTTGGTTTTGTGACGCCTGAATTCTGTTGGAAAGAAGTAAAGACTATCTGTGCTGGAGTGAAAAATGATACATTAAAGGATGCTAAGTTTTAGAGTGTAGTTAAGGACTGTTAATTTATTTAGTATTTAACTTTGCTTGTTAGCAGTATGCTCAGGCCTACCAGTAATTTTGGGGGGAAAAATAATAATTTGTAGCTATCTATGAAAAACCAGGAAAACTGTAAAACTCACAGAGTACCATTTTCCCACTGTCACACATATGTAAATGTTTTACTTTTGTCTACTGGGAGAATTCTAGATTGAGCAGAAACCATTTTTATATGAGAATTGCATTTCCACCTCTCTAGCTATTATCACTTGGAGATAGTTCATAGCTGTATAGTTAGTTCTCTTGAATTGATCTCTGTGTCACATAGCTGAACCCATAGGGGTTTTTAATGTAACAAAATAGTCAGTGCTGAAATTGTCTTACATTGTACAATTAAAGATACACTTTATAAGTCACATTTTATCCCATGTGACTTTTCTGGGGAGCCTAGCTAGCATGATAATCCCAAAAATCAAGCTTTCTAGGTAGGGTTCCCAAGCAACCTCCCAAATGCAAGGAGTCGTCGGTCTGTGCTGCTAGTGCACCCACACCATCTCACAGGATGAGGCTCACTTCCTCCTGAGTATCTACTTCTGTTTTTTGTTTTTGTTTTTAAATACAATCAGATTCTTAGTTGAATTTATTTTTGTAATTAAACTCATCTTTTCTTTTAATTTCTCTTCAGCCTTGGGAAGTAATGTTTGAGTTGTCTTTTATGTTAAAACAGGTAAACTTAACGTCATAGCAACTTAAGTACGGCATTCTCAAGTTTAAAAAACAACATTTATAGCCAGACGGTGATGGTGCATGCCTTTGATCCCAGAGACAGGCCATCCATCCTTGCCTCTCTTGAGTTCCAGGACTGGCTCCAAAGCAACACAGAGAAACCCTGTCTCAAAAAATCTCAAAATTTAAGCCAGATATGGCAAACTGTAGTGTGGAACTATTTTCAGACCCATGATCTACTCCTTGCTCCCTTTATCTTACTTTATAACACGCTTTGTCTCCTGGAATTGCCCCAGTTTTCCTGGGTGACTCACTGCTCTGGAACTAGCGTGTTGGAAGCTTGGCATCTGCCCCAGACCATTTTTTTCTAAGACCTTCATAACTTATTCCTTGACCTTTGCTTTCTGATCAAATGTCATGGAGGTTTTTCTCAAGTTACTCGACCTAAAATAGAAACTACTAGAGCTAGGGAAATAGCTCAGTCAGTAAAGTGCTTGTCATGCAAGCATGAGGGCCTGAGGCAGATCCCAAACCCAAGTGAAAATATTGGATGTAATACCTCATGCTTGTAAGCCTTAGCAAGGTGGATCCCTTGGTGAGCTCCAAGCCAATGAAAAGACTGTCTTAAGTGAGGTGAATAGTGTTCCTGAGGAATGTCACCTGAAGTCCTCTAGCCTCTAGATGGGCAAACAATAGAATATCTTTACTAGTTCCTCTTCTTGTCCTGCTTCATTGTCACTCTAATGCCCTGTGCTCTGAAGGAAGCCTGTCTCTCCTCACCCCGTGGCAGTGTTCTTGAGACACAGGACCATTTACTTAAGAGCCTGATACATAAGTACTCGGCAAATCATTGTTACCTTCATGTTGTAAAAAACCTCTACATGAATTTACACAGTTCCAGTTTTTGTCTTAAAATGGCTGCTAGGAAGAATAATGGTTAATAACTTAGTAAACAGTTGAAAATGTATAGATAACATGGGACCAGAGAGATGGCTTATTAGTTAACAGTGCCTGCTGCTCTTCCAGAGGACTCAAATTCAATCCCCAGAACCCATGTGTCGGGTTCTCACAAACTACCTGTAACCCCAGGGGCATCCAATGCTTCTGGCCTTTTCGCTCTTACATACACGTACACATCACTATACACATAATTAAAAGTAAAATATTTGGAAATGTACAGCATTACATTTTATGCACGTTATGAAGGTTTAGACAAACAAGAAAATGCCACAGTTCTTGTTAAGAATGAAATAGCTAAGTGATTTGCTTGTATGTTATTCCACTAAGTGATGAAGCTTGTGTTTTATGTGCACAGAGATTCACTGAATTTTTTTAATGTTTATTTAGGAGGGAAAGTTGGCCTAGAAACTTTGCATTTGTAGAAGCAGACATCCTTTCTAGAAATAATTGAAGCAGCTGTTAGTAGTGTTTTCATTTTTTGAAATGCTCATACACTGACTTTCCTTAATGTGAACAGCCTGTAACTGAACTTTGACTTCAAATTTATAGCCATTTTTATTCTTTCAATTTAGCTTAGCTCACAAATTTTTTTGATATTTTCTGAAGCTTTCATGGATTAAGCTTCATGTGATTTATAATTGGGTAGCTAGAGTCTAATCTTAACCATTTGAATTGTCTGGGAACATTGATCAGTGGTAGAATACTTTTCTAGCCTAATCCCAATACTGGAGGGGAAAATCAAAAGACAAAAGAACCATTTTATTCTAACCCTAAAAAGATTTGGCTACCATTGGGAAAAGTCCTATCCTGCTTAGTTTCTGCTGCCTTAGTTGACTCTTAGAGGAATCATTTATTGAGGGATGTGTCACTGTGTGTAAATGAATTCCTGATGGAAACTGTTGTTTTTTGTGCTGTACCTTATGTCTGTGGAATATAACAGGACATGTATCAGGTAATTGCCCCACACAGGTCTTACCCTTCCCTGTCTATAAAACCTCTGTCAATATAAGTAGGACTGTAGCTTCATCTTTGTAATGATGAAAGCAGTTGGCAATTTAAAGATGTCTTTTCTTTAAATTCTATGTTGTGTTTAATTCATGGCCTTTATCACAGTGCTCTTTGTAGACTTAATTATAGTAGATTGTTAGAGCCTGGGGTATAGCTTGGTATTGGGGAGGACTAGAGAAGAAATCATTAGTTTGAAACAAATGTGAGCTTTTGTACCACCTGTGTGAGGATAGTGACTAAACCAATCGACAAATTCAGCTGAACTATTTATTATAAAAGTCCCAGTGTAGTGATTTTAAAACCTGTGTACTTCTGCTGGTGGCTCACAAATCTTAATTTGTTAATTTTTTTTTTTTTTTTTTAATTACGGATGTGTGGGAAGGTCGTGGCGTTTGCTTGTGAATCTAAGCTTTGCTTAGTAAAATATGTTGAAATGGGGGAGGTGGACATTCAGCTCTGGGGTTATTTCTTTTAACAGAAGAGTCGAGTTTGTATGAACCTCTCTCTCCCATCAGCACAGAATGAATTCTCATATTTTACTTAATGCAAAGGGAAAATTGAAGCTTCTTTGTTTTTCCTTCTCTTTCAGGAGGCAAAACTAACAGATCAGTTGCCACTTATCATCGTCTGTGATCGATTTGACTTTGTCCATGACCTGGTGCTGTATTTATATAGAAACAACCTTCAGAAGTATATAGAGATATATGTCCAGAAGGTAAATATTTTTATACTTCAGTAATTGAAACCTTATCATTATGGTAAGAATGGTCTGTTAGAGTAACTTTTAGTATTTTTTGTCCCAGCACAATCTTTTTGTTGATTAAAATTTTACATCCATGCCAGTATATGATGTGTGAGAACAGAAAACCACTATAGTTGAAGGAGTTGTGAAATCTAGGAACCAAACCCCAAGCACGTGTCTTAAACAATGTTAGATTTAGGTTTTAGAAACTTTGTCTTTTAACTTTAAAGGTATTCTAGCAGGGCTTTTTTGCTGTAATTGAAGCTTTTGCACTTGGTAATCTTCCATGGTTGTCTTGGCTGCTGTTGGTTTTGTACTTAGCATTTGGAGTAATCCTTAGGTAGAACTAAGTAAGCAAACCAACATGGGAGTCTATGGGGCAAGTGCTTTCAATTCTGACCAGACTCTGGGGCCTTTCTAAAAGTGGACTTACGCTGATAAATCTCTGCATCTGACTGGAAATTTAGATTCACAGTTTATGGGCTTTAAAAAGAAAACGGTCTTTTAGATTTTTAAGTCAGTTTTGCTTGTTGATGAAATGATGTGCTTTTTATTTTCTCTTTTCTAAACCTAGGTAAATCCAAGTCGACTCCCCGTGGTTATTGGAGGGTTGCTTGATGTTGACTGCTCAGAAGATGTTATTAAAAATTTGATTCTCGTTGTGAGAGGTCAATTCTCTACTGATGAGCTTGTGGCTGAAGTTGAAAAAAGAAACAGGTGTAGTACTATTTTTCCACATTACAACAGATGACCTTGCAGCCCCAGTAGTGTAGTAATAGCTGACATACAGCTGACTGATGATCTGAAGCTGCTCGGCAGCTAATGGAAAGGGCTCAGGCTAGCTTTCAGAGTTGAAATTGGCCTTTTTTTTTTTTTTTTTTCCCTGAAATGTGACTATATTTCTATAGTTACCAGAGGATTGTGCCGTTTGTAACATAGCATGTTGGGGCTTTGTTGTTTCACTAGATTGAAGCTGCTTCTACCTTGGCTTGAGGCCAGAATTCATGAGGGCTGTGAGGAACCTGCTACTCACAATGCATTAGCCAAAATATACATCGACAGTAATAACAACCCTGAAAGGTTTCTTCGTGAAAACCCCTATTATGACAGTCGTGTTGTTGGAAAGTATTGTGAGAAGAGAGACCCACATCTGGCTTGCGTCGCTTATGAACGTGGCCAGTGTGACCTGGAACTCATCAATGTAAGTACTACTTGCTGAGCATGTGCAAAGGCGGCTGTATCCCTTTAACTGCTTGTATTTTTGACTAGCAAAATTTGAATTTCTGTATGATTTTAGGTATTTTGGAGCAGTTCTGGGCAGAGAGGTGCTTTTTTAAAACTTTAACTGGAAATAAGTAGTAAACCTAAATGTGCTCAAAATGTAAAGTGTGTATATACTCTTTCCTGATCTGGCATGTTAACTCTATTAGCTTTACCTGTTCTTGTACATGGTCATACATACCTGAACATAGCATTTTACCTGTTACATACTTCATGGATTTGTGCCCCTTTGAGCTCTATTTTCTAAGGATGAAAAAGTATCTTCACATAGATACTAGCTACAGTCAATATGACATTAGGTACTTTGAAGGATCTGTTTTCTTTCAGTGTTGTCAGGTTTTTGTGTAGTTTAGGATCATAATTATGTCCTCTGTAGTATTTTTATAATGAATCAGTTCTTAGAAATGTATTTTTTTTTTAATGATGGATACCTTTGCTAAACTCCTAATTTTATTTGTATTCTCTTAAAAAATTTTATTTGTGGAATAAAAGCCAAAATTTCCATTTTTAAAAATGTCTTTTTAAAAAAAGACATTTATTTATTATATATATAGTATTCTGCTTGCATGTTTGTCTGCAGGCCAGAAGAGGGCACCACATCTTATTACAGATGGTTGTGAGCCACCATGTGGTTGCTGGGAATTGAACTCAGGACCTCTGGAAGAGCAGTTATTGCTCTTACCTTTGAGCCATCTCTCCAGCCCCCAAAGTTTTCAATGTGAAGTAAACAATTAAGTGGCTATTAGTTAATACACAGTGTTACATAATCACTATTCTTGCCCACCTTTCAGGGTCTCATCATTAAGGAAGAGGTCCTCTTTTCAGTAAAGCTTCTCTATACTCCTGCTTCCCACGAACCCTCACAAATGACAAATCACACTGAACCCCTGTGGGTTTGTCTGTTCTGTATGTTCTGTAAACTAAATGTTTATTTTATTTTATTTTTTGCACATGCATGTGGAAGTTGGGGACAATTTGTAGGAATCTGTTGTCTCCTTCAACTGTATGTGTGCCTGGCCAAAAGTAAAGCATTTCTCATTTTGAGTTTCCCTGTATTACTTCCTAGCCTTTGGGCTACAATCAAGTACTTCTGTAATGGTTCTCTGTGGTGGGATTTAGATCACACACTTCTACTGGGAATACTCTTGCTCCCACCCCACCCTATAATTTAAAGTAATACAATATTAATAATGTTTTAACATCGAAAGTAAGCTGAGTATGGTAGTGAATGTGTGTAATTCCAGCAGGGAGATAGGTTTTTGAAGCTCTGGTACATGAGACCACCATCTCAAAAAAGTAAGCAGATTGTATAATGGAATCCTTTCTTAAAGCCCCTGAAACTTTTTTTTTCCTTTGTTGGGTTTCCATGAGAATATGTGACTGGCATCCCTAAGAGATTATATAGAAGTAATAGATTTCTTACAAAACAAAGAGTTGACATGATTGCAAATAACGTTCAGAGTCATCTGCAGTCTTTTTACTTTTTGTGTTGAAATTAACCCTTGCTATTTTCATTAGGTTTGCAATGAGAATTCCCTGTTCAAAAGTCTTTCCCGCTACTTGGTCCGTCGAAAAGATCCAGAATTGTGGGGTAGTGTGCTACTGGAAAGCAATCCATACAGAAGACCACTAATTGACCAGGTAAAAATGGCAAAAATGGTTCCCTTCCTTTTGACTTGGAATACTTTCCTCTCATTATATACCTAGATAAACTCAAATGAGTCATTTAACTATAGCAGAAAGCAGAAGTTAAAGAACATTAAAATTATATTAAATAAATACAAAATTATACATAGATATACATTAAATTTAAGGAAAGAGAAATCTAAAAATGTAATTATCTTAAGTTCATCATCATTAAAAGGAAATAAATTAGGATTGACTACAAATTACTACCTGAAAAGTTGACTAAATTGAAGACGTTTAAAACATCTCTTCTTGTAAGTCAGCACACAATAAGAATTGATAATATATAATACAAAAATCCAAGTGACTTGGAGGAGGGGAGATGATGACTATGAGTGAATCATGAGCCTATCTCCAATTCTTTTTTAAAAGTCCAAGTAAGTGTCATGGAGATGGTTCCATTGGCAAGCACGAAGACCTGAGTTCACATCCATCCCTATCACCCACATACAAGCTGGGCTTAGGGGTCCCTGTATTTAACCCTAGTCATAAGTAGACAGAGACAGGAGGACCTCTGGGACATCCTGGTCAGCTAGTGCAGTCAAAGTGGATGAGCTCCAGCTTTAGGGAGAGACTTCTATCAAAAGTAGAGAGTGAGCGGGCTGGAGAGATGGCTCAGAGGTTAAGAGCACCGACTGCTCTTCCAGAGGTCCTGGGTTCAGTTCCTGCAACCACATGTTGGCTCACAACCATCTATAATGAGATCTGGTGCCTTCTTCTAGTGTGCAGATATACATGGAAGCAGAATGTTGTATACATAATAAATAAAATCTTTAAAAAAAAAATAGAGAGTGAGCAAGACACCTGGTATCAAGACACTTTGATACATGCACATGCACCTGAACGCATTGATGCACACAACCACAGTAATAGTACCTAATAGCACACACAATGCTCAAATCAATCATAGTGAATCTAACTAAAGTACCACAGTACACAAGTTTTTATACCTATATGATAATTGCAATCTCAAATTTAAAGTGCTAGTTATTGCTCATTATTATAATGATTCTTAAATTCCTCTGATAGACAAAGAGGTACAGCACTCTGAAGAATAGATTACTACCTCTGAGTTTTTCACTAACCCGGGGAAGCATTTCCAAGGCACATTCTCAAGTAGATAGAAAGCTTCCTGCAGTCATCATGGCGTCTGGGCATATGAAAGTAGCTAAAACCAGGGTTGTTCAATTTATAATCTATATCTAGGGATTTGAAAATAGGAAGCCATTAAAATAATAGTGGTAAGTGTTGTTATGGACAGTGTTTTATGAGGAGAAAGTAAAAATTACATAATTGCTCATGTTAATGTAATTATTAATGTGTGTTCATGTTTGTGTACAAAGATCGTTGTGAAGTTATAGGTAGTTTTTCTTCTATTTAAGGTTTTCTAATAAGTTATTTAACCTATTCTTAATAGGCCATGTCTTTTTAAAAATACTTTGATTTTTCATAACCATTCCCTGTATATCATCTGTAGGTTGTACAGACAGCCTTGTCTGAAACTCAGGACCCAGAAGAGGTGTCAGTAACTGTGAAGGCTTTTATGACAGCAGATCTTCCTAATGAACTCATTGAACTGCTGGAGAAAATTGTCCTTGATAACTCTGTATTCAGTGAACACAGGTACGCTGGCAGAGGATTGCACCAGCTTTCTGCTGTCTTTGATTGCAGCCAGTCAGTTTGGGGAGGCAGTTTTCTGAATTGTTACTCCTTGATACTCTGACCTCTTCCTACGCTTTCCCCTGAGACAGATCACCCTCCAGTGCCGTAGTGTTTATTCCTTATCACTGATGGGCTTTATGAACTTTGTGGTTCAATGTCTTGGTTTCTAAAGGAATCTGCAAAACCTCCTCATCCTCACTGCAATTAAGGCTGACCGAACACGTGTTATGGAGTATATTAACCGCCTGGATAATTATGATGCTCCAGATATTGCCAATATTGCCATCAGCAATGAGCTGTTTGAAGAAGCATTTGCTATTTTCCGGAAGTTTGATGTCAATACTTCAGCTGTTCAGGTAATCTTGAAATTAGATAAATTGAGATAATGACTTTGTGTAAAGAATGCATTGCCTTATGATGGCATGCACAGATTGCTGTCACAATAGAATAATCACAAAAATGCTATAGGTAATAATGAATAAGATCCATTTTACTGTAACACCAATTCAAAAATGTTGCCCAGGTCTTAATTGAACATATTGGAAACTTGGATCGTGCATATGAGTTTGCTGAACGCTGCAATGAACCTGCTGTTTGGAGTCAACTTGCAAAAGCTCAGTTGCAGAAAGGAATGGTGAAGGAAGCCATTGATTCATACATCAAAGCAGATGATCCTTCATCCTACATGGAAGTTGTTCAGGCTGCCAATACTAGTGGTATGACTTCTAATCTTTATGCCTTTGAGATCTTAGAAAATTGCTAAGCCAAGCATTTGGATATCTTAACGTTTAATTGTGTGAAAGTTAGATGCTTCTTTATTACTTATGAAAGCTTTTAGCCCAGCATGTTGACCCAGCTAAAGTCTGACTGCATTGTGTGAATTTAGAAGGTCCCCAGAGGTTAATTTTGTATTGAAGTCTAATAAAATCCTGATAGAACTCTGATATGTAACTTTAAAGGAAGCATGTAGGGAAGGTATCAAATATTCTTTGGGTCAATAATACAGAAGTATAGTGGAATTTTTATACTTTCAGGTATATTCATTTTTATGTGTTATTCTATGTGATGTTTCTTTGTAAAGGGAGTTAAGTTGCTGAAGTGATGTACACTTGCCATCCTAGCACTTGGGAAGTTGAGGCAGGAGGCCTTAGGTTCATGGACAGCCTGGGCATCATAATAATCATTGTGTGTGTGTTTGTGGAATGCTTGTGTGTAGGTACATGAAAGGCCAGAGGACAGGCTCTGTTTTCCCCCTTAAGGCACTATCCACTTAAAAAAAAAAAAAAAAAAAAAAAAGGTCTCTTGTTGGTCTGGGTATCACTAAGCAATTTGGGCCAGCAAGCATAAGCATATAGCAAAATCCACAAGCATAAGCATATAGCAAAATCCACTCTCAAAAAAATAAATTAATAATAATTGTAGTTGACGGTGGCGGGGGGCGGGGGGGCGCCGACACACTAATAGCAGATCTTATATATTTGGTTGAGATATAAAATAAGGATGCTAATCTATGGGCTTATTTGTCTCTTTATTTAGGAAACTGGGAAGAACTGGTGAAGTATTTGCAAATGGCCCGAAAGAAGGCTCGAGAATCCTATGTTGAAACAGAATTGATATTTGCGCTGGCTAAAACAAATCGCCTTGCAGAATTAGAAGAGTTCATCAATGGGCCAAATAATGCTCATATTCAGCAAGTGGGTTTCCTGTTTAAATATGTGTGTATGTTTAGTGGGATGCTTGTATATAGGTGCATGCAGAGGCCAGAGGCCAAGCTCTGTTTTTACCACTCAGGCACTATCTGCTTAAAAAACACAGACAGGGTTTATTGTTGGCCTGGGTGTCAAAAGGTAATTTAGGCCAGCTGGCCAGCATGTATAAAGGATTGGTTTGTCACTGCATCAGTGCATACTATCATACTTGGCTTTTTATGTGGGTGGTGGGTATTGAACTGGGTCCTAATGTTTGCAAGTACCTTTCAACTGAATTATCTCACTGGCTCCACATTTTAAACATATGTCAAACTCAAGGAGTAAGCAATTTTATCATTTTGGAAGAATCAACACATTAGTGCTAAGAAATTAAATTATCCTTAGAGGCAGAGTGTGTGTGTGTGTTCATTCATTTTGTTTGTAATTTTGGAGATGGAATCTCTCAGGTGGCCTTGAACTTGGGGTGCTCCTGACTCAACTTCTTGGGTACTGGATTACAGCATATGCAATGTCCCTATCTATTCCTCAGTGTAAAAATATTAACTTGAAAAAGGGATTGAACTGAGACCTCTATTTTACTGATCATGGATTACCTTTTCCCCACTAGGTTGGTGACCGTTGTTATGATGAAAAAATGTATGATGCTGCTAAGCTGTTGTACAATAATGTTTCTAACTTTGGACGCTTGGCATCTACCCTTGTTCACCTTGGTGAATATCAGGCAGCAGTTGATGGTGCTAGAAAAGCTAATAGTACTCGAACATGGAAGGAGGTAATCTAAATCCAAGTTTGAATGATGACTTAAGATTCTGTTTGAAAATTCTGTTTGTACTGTTGAGTTGAAATAACTGTCTGCATTTATATTTGGATTCTCATAGTGGAAAATTATATTCTAGGTCTGCTTTGCCTGTGTAGATGGGAAAGAATTCCGTCTTGCTCAGATGTGTGGACTTCATATTGTAGTACATGCAGATGAATTAGAGGAACTTATCAACTACTATCAGGTAACGAACACCAGACCTTTATATGGATTGAGATCTTTGTATAGATATTCTGTCCTCTAATTGCACATTTCCCTTGTTTAGGATCGTGGATATTTTGAAGAACTCATTACCATGTTGGAGGCAGCCTTGGGACTAGAACGAGCTCACATGGGAATGTTTACCGAACTAGCTATTTTGTATTCTAAATTCAAGCCACAGAAAATGAGGGAACACCTGGAGTTGTTCTGGTCGAGAGTGAATATTCCTAAGGTAACAATCTTCACCACTGTAAGGCAGCTCTAATCATTTAGGCTGATAGCAGGAGTTGGGCTTACATCTTACACGACTGGTCTATGTTGTGCAGGTGCTGAGAGCTGCAGAACAAGCCCACCTTTGGGCAGAGCTGGTGTTCCTGTATGACAAGTATGAAGAGTATGATAATGCCATAATCACCATGATGAACCATCCCACTGATGCATGGAAGGAAGGGCAGTTCAAAGACATCATCACCAAGGTATATACCTTCAGAGATATGGGCTGTGGAAAGACAGGGCTCGTTGGGGACGAACTGGCTTTTAATGCATGGGTTTCTCCTATTTTAGGTGGCCAATGTGGAGCTGTACTACAGAGCAATCCAGTTCTACTTAGAATTCAAGCCTCTGTTGTTAAATGACTTGCTTATGGTGCTGTCTCCACGGTTGGATCACACTCGTGCTGTCAATTATTTCAGCAAGGTAACCATTTCAAACCGACTTCATAGTGAAGATTCATAGACCTTCAACCATGGCTATCTTTCTAACAAACTTTATTTTAAAGGTTAAACAGCTACCACTGGTGAAACCATATTTACGCTCAGTTCAGAACCACAACAACAAATCTGTGAATGAGTCACTGAACAACCTCTTTATTACAGAAGAAGATTACCAGGTAAAACCTTTGGATTCTTGTAAATACTTAAAACATGGTTCTGATTAGGTTTAAAGTTGGCTTTAAACAGGTTCTGTGGTAAAAGCTACTGTTACCTTTACATTTATAAAGAAGCAGGCACGTGGGTGCCTAGGCTTCTTCAGTTAGTCCATAAAACTTACTTGTTATTAAGTACTTAACTATTACTTTTCTTTAAAAAAAAAAAAAACTATTACTTTTCTTTATTTTAGTATTTGTCTCATATTTTAGTATTTGTCTTTTAAATTTGCTTTTGTGAAAGATAGCACATAAATAGAAAATGTCTAGGTTAAGCTAGTTGCCTTGTTTTCTTTCACTTAATAATTGTTGACCTGACTGGAACTTGCCTAGTAGTGCATAAAGTGCAGTCTTGCCTCAGAATCTGGCTTCTGGATCAGCATGATTCCTTTAGGCTCATAGTCTAGCCTGTAAGGCTGAATATCATGTAATTTTATGAATTATTTCCTGGCAGCATAAGTTGTTGTCCATATTACATATTCTCCCAGCTCCATAGCTATTCAAGTTAGTATCAGTACTGGAAACCTTGGAGCAGATTGCCCTTTCAGAAAATTGTGCAGTACATTTGAGGATTTTATTTATTGTATTAGAAGTAGATGAAGAAGATTGACATCTGAATCCAGCTTACAACTTTTGTAGTTTGATGCTTGAATCTATGTTGTTATATTTTATGCTATCATCTAATTGCCTGCATCAAAATGAATTGTGAAAAATAAATGTTAAAAGTAAAAGCCTTTTTGACTTTTGAATTGCTTTGTCTCTTAAGGCTCTACGAACATCAATAGATGCTTATGACAACTTTGACAATATCTCACTTGCTCAGCGTTTGGAAAAACATGAACTCATTGAATTCAGAAGAATTGCTGCTTATCTCTTCAAAGGCAACAATCGCTGGAAACAGAGCGTAGAGCTGTGCAAGAAAGACAGCCTTTACAAGGTTGATAAAGTGGGGGTGGGCTGTCCAATCAACTCAGATAGTGTCTTACAAGTGTTAGTTTCATGGGTATGAGAATTGGTAGTGTAACTCTCTTTTGTGAATGTGGTCTTTTAGTCAGTGGGGTTTTGTTTTGTTTTGTTTTGTTTTTTAACTTCCAGGACTGGTTTGTGTCAGCATCCTTGGATAAACCTCTAACCTTCATTGTTTCTCTGAATAGGACGCGATGCAGTATGCCTCTGAATCTAAAGATACAGAATTGGCTGAAGAACTCCTACAGTGGTTTTTGCAGGAAGAAAAAAGAGAGTGCTTCGGGGCTTGTCTCTTTACCTGTTATGATCTTTTAAGGCCAGATGTCGTCCTGGAAACGGCATGGAGGCACAATATCATGGATTTTGCCATGCCCTATTTCATCCAGGTCATGAAGGAATATTTGACCAAGGTAATGACGCTTAGAAGTATATTCAAAACTAATAATCTTGAGAATATGTGCAATTCTACATGCATATTAGTTTTATTTTTTCTAATATAAATTGTTTAGTTGATCATAAAATGTTCCTATTACATAGAATTTTTCTTAAGTGTTGACAGATGCCATGACTAGGAAGGGAACTCAAGCTTGTCATTGTTTACCCTCTCTGTATTCTTCAAGTGAATAGCACTCTCTGTTTTAATATTTGAGATCTTTTAAAATAGCATTTTAAAATTAATTCCTATAACTCAGATTTCCATATATACTTCTGTAGACTCCCTTTGGTTTCTGACTTCATGTCTTTACCTGTTTCCCATGGGGAAGCTCTGTTGTATTAACAGCCTGCTAGTCATCACAGATTTTTTTTTTGGTAATCAGATATCTAATTTAAAAATACAATAGGAAATTTGCAATTACCCATGTTTCCTAAATACACATTAAATAAACTGAGGAGACAGCCACTTTATAAAATTTACTGTTCATGTTAGCATCTCTTTTTAATGTTAGAATAGATTTTGCTTGTCCTGAGTTACTAGCTATGCATAGAAAAATAATATTAAAAGATCCATTTTTGTCAGAACAAATCAAGTCTCACTTCTGTTCTCTTCAGCATGCCTGAGTACAAGTGGGGGAAACACTACAAATAAACCCCAGGATAGAAAGTTTTTTCCTCAAGGGATCACCTACCTACATACCTCATGTTGCACTTAGATTTTTTTTTAAGGGAATAATATTTTATGTAAGTTCAGTTCAGTGTGATTAAAAGAGTTACCCCAGTTTAGCCCCAGGGGAGCCAAGCTTCTTTTCTTATGCATAATGCCACCTTTTGAGACCTGGCTGCTGTTAACCTAAGTGCTGTCCATTACTAGCCATTAAGCTGCTTCCTTTCACACTGACTTAGCATAAATACTTCTGCAGTGAGCTTTGAAGTTAAAAGGATTCTCAATTTTGCTTCCGTTTGCCCTTGACTTCCACTTCGCTCCTACCTTTTTTAGTGGGTACATGTTTCTCCCCTGAACCTTTGTTGCTGATTCTACCTTTTTATGCTCAATATGGAATTTGATTTTTTTCTAAGCTGCACCTTCTGAATTCCTTTGCAGGTTGATGCAATAAAGGAAAAGGTGAAAGTTGATTCTTTTCCATCTTTAAGTCTGGAGGACTAAGTCTAAGGAATTTGCATGATTTTTTTCCTTCCTTTTCTACACTGCTGCTGCTGCTTTCCCCCCAATAAATTTTCACTAAGCCTCTGCAAGTCCCTTGAAACATAACTATAATAGAGCTGTAGGACATTAGTAGATGTTTGCTACTAATCGGCTAATAGGCTTTAGGAAGGGCAGGAGGCTAATCAGTAGTTGGTTCACAGTCTCTCTTTAATATATTAAAACTGAGCATGGTGAGTTTCAATATTAATTCCAAACTATCAGGAAATTTCTTTTCCCTGTCAGGGTATCTGGACGATAGTAGGACTCTCTTAATATTTTAAATAAATTAAAATACCTTCTTTTTTATTTTGTGAGCTTGCCTGACAGTTGTTGAATTTATATCTGTATGTACATGCCCTAAGAGGCTTTTGGAGTTCTGTGGGGCTTTTTTGTTTGTTTGTTTCCTGGGGTTTTTGTGGTATTGAAGGACTGTGATCCAGTTTCTGATCTCTTGATTCTTACTAATTTTTTTTGCTGAAAGTAGATACAAGAGATACTAGCTGCTTCCGAAGAGACTTTCCTCATGTTTCTCCAGGTGTCCAGTTCTCATGGTGCTAGTCCATTTTTAAGAGGAACCAAAACCTTTTCAATCATGAGAGAGCCAAGCTTGCTGTAACTGTTGCTAAGCAACATGGATTGCTTATGTTTATAACAAGGCAGTATTAACACCTATCTGTCATAAGGCATGCCTTAGAAACTACCTAAAATTTGCTCTCTTGTTGATTACTTGCCTCATCATCCAAGGATGCCAAATTTAGGCACCATTTGGTTGCTGCTTTCTTCATTGGCTTGTCTCCATCCCAGTATAAATGAAACAAACTTTAAAACTTATGTCTTGTGTAAAATTATGGCTAGAAAGGGGTGGGGAGGTAAAGGAGTGTTAAATTTAAATGAATTTGGGTGGGGCCAATGCCTTGGGATTCTGTTGATAAGACTGGAGTCACCACTGGAACTTAGGGCAAACCTGAGTAAAATGCATTGTGTGTGAGGCCCTTCAGCAGCTAGTAAGCAAGACAGCTAGAAAGCGTGTGTGTGTGTGAAAAATGGGTCATTGAACTGTAGTGTTATGCGTTGTTTTAAATCAAGCATGTACAAGTCATTGCAATTACATCATACTACTCCGAAACATAGAGCATTGCTGTGGGCTGTGTGTGTTTCTTGAGAGCCTGTATGGCACCAGTCATCTTCAGATCTCACTTCTTGCTTCAGTACTTTTGCCTTTTTTTCATGCACACATACACCAAAGTAACTGACTGCATGTTAACTTTTACTCTGCAGCATATTGCAGTCTTTGTGGAAAAGCCTTTTGCATTTTAGTTGATTTTCAATTTTACCAATGGAACTGATTTCAGTGACATGATTATGTTTAATTTTTCTTCTTAAACCCAAGGATCAGAAACTTTTGTTACAGCTCTTAACAAAAGCTTATGTTCATAAAAGCCTTCTCTGGTTTTTCTTTTTTTTTTTTTTGTGCAATCTAAATTGGGCTATTAGACAAAAATTGGCTGTTCCTGTGCCAGAGGCTGTCCCATTATATAAAAACATCAACATTTTTGCTTATGTTGGTGTTTCTCCTCTGGAATTTGTGTTTCTCCTCCTCCTTCCTTGCCTATGTCAGTGACTGGGCATTTGGATAATGCTGGCTCTTCTAGTCTCCCATGTGTTTCTGTAGCAGACCTGTGTTCAACAATATGTGTCTGTTTACTTGAGTTTTTTTTTTTTTTTTTCCTTGAAAGTCTGGAGATGTATTATGCAGTGCTGGGTTTTTTTGGTTTCATTTTTCTTTTATCTTAGAAATTATTTATGTACAGTCATCCATGTTTCCTGTATAACTTTTGTAAACCATTCTCACATATTAGCTAGCTAGGTTAGCAAACCCCAAATGATCTTGATGGCATAGCTATGCTTTAAATTCTACAGATGAATAATTTTTCTTATAGATTGAAAGCCAAATAGTGGGTATTTCACATGATCCTTACATTCCATGGTAGTCTTTAATTTGATATTAGGATTATTTGTAACATGTTCATAAAGGCTATAAAACAAGAAAACCGTAAACAAAAGCAAACTACCACCCAGGGATACACAATGAGACTGTTCTCCCCCCCCCCCAAAACCA